TTATACATATTTTTATATATATTTATACATAGTTATATATATTTATATATATTTAAGAAAAATAACATACATATATATATATTATATAATTTAATTGTATATTAATTACTTTTAGGTTATCGAATTAAAAAAGGAGATACATTATTTTTAAATAATTACGATGTGAGTATGTCAGAAGAGTTGTGGGAAGTCCCGAAAAAGTTCGTTCCCGAGAGATTCTTAATCAACAACAAATTATCGAAACCGGAATTCTTTTTGCCTTTCGGCGGCGGGCGAAGAGGTTGCATGGGATACAGGATGGTCCAATTAGTGAGTTTAGGCATCCTAACCACGATCCTACAAAACTACACAATCCTCCCGTTACCCAGCCACAACTACAAAGTAAAAGTGGGCTCGTTGGCTTTACCCAAAAAAACGTACGAATTCAAATTCGAAAAGCGAAATATCACGATTATTTAATTAAAAAAAAATTAATTAATTAATTTGTTTTTATGTTTTATAAGAAATTTTTAATAATTTATTTTTTTTGTAAATCACTTTGTAAATAATTAAATTAAAATAATTAGAACGATTAAAAAAAACAAATTAAAAAAAAAAAAAACATCTTAGATTAAATAATAAATAATTTTGTTTGTTTTAAGTTAATTATTTTGTAAATATCACACTTTTTCTTTTATATTAATTAATATTCTTTTTTTTTTAATTAAAAATTTATGATGTAAATACCAAAGAGAATTGAAAAGTTTAAATAAAATAAAAAAATTGAAGTAAAATCGTAAGAATTATTGTTTCTTTAATTGGCATGTAACGCGAACTTTGCAAAAATTAACAAAGTAAACGGTTTTATTAAATATGGAAATTCTGCTCGATAAACATATCTCGAGACACAACACTTAAATCAAATCAAAAGTCGTCGGTTTTAAGTTACACATAATAATTAACTCACCGCTAAGAATTTATGTATTAAAAAAAAATAGGAGACGTCAAGTGACGTTATATTGGGTGAAAAATCACTCAAAATGATGAAATTATTTTAAGTTGGTAATAATTTTCGTTACTAGTGCCATCTTTTGTTCAAACGGTACAATTCGATATTGTACTATACAAAGTAGCGCTATCTAGTGCTAACTAGTGCAACCAAGCATTGTCATTGAGGAAGAAGATTCAAAAACTTGAATAAAACAAATATAAAACATGTTTATTATAGTTAAGAATTTAACTCTTTTTAATACTAATATTAAGAAATCTAACACATCAAGTAGCATAAACAAGTGAGTCTTTGACAAGAATCCATTAAGAAGGCTTATAAATGATACATCCCCTAAACTATTAATGTTGGGTGTAGGACATGTGGGCTAAAAAAAAGATGTAAAAATATTTTATGTAATCTGAAAATATTTTAGTCGAAGAGAACGCAATTGATTATATTTAAATATGAATTCTCAAAATTTTATTTTATCCAGAACCCCAAAAACGTCTAATGAATGGTCTCGCTAAGACACCCTGTATACGTGAAGAGAAAGAAAAAAGCAATTCAAAACCAAAAAATATAGTATAATAATACAATAACTACTGTTAAACATCTTCCCTCTTTTGCTGAAACAACAAACATCTAACCTCCTTCTTAAAAGAGTACTTGCATCAGTCCTTGTAGCTATGTATTTATTATACAGGATGTTTCGTAATATATGCGCAGGACTTCAGGATGTGTTTTTAAAGTCATAATTGGTGAAAATTTTTAGTGTAGTGGTTATTCAGCGTTTGTGTAAAAAATTGTACTCGAAATTGTGTCTCACTCGGCGGTTTGGAGAATTTTGAAAAGGTAACTTTTGTATCCCTATCATATCCAAATAGTACAAGCCTTATTGCCAAGAGATTTTCCGCCAAGATTGGCTTTTTGTACATGGATACAAAACAAAATGCTAATTAGTGCATAGATTAACTTATAACACCCTATATGTATTGTCATTATTTCCAAAATCAAATATAGATTTTAAAGAACGATATGAGGAAAAAGTGACACTTATTTCGCCGATAACAATCCTACCGACAAAAACAGTTTGTTCAACAGTGAATATTATTATAGATTCAATCCATTTGAATCGCTGAGTGCAGAAAAGATACAAGTCAGTGTTTCGGCCATTTTGAGATGTTACAACAAAGAGGATATAGAGGATATTGCATGTTGTAAGTCAGTTAAAAGTGCAAAAGATAGTTTAACGTTAGGTGCAACTTTTATTCTAGCATTAGGGGCAAAGAGTATGTTAATTACAAAGATTCTGTTGTTGCTGCTAAGTGTGTTGGAACTAAGTGTCGTTAGTGAGAGACACATGTGTTAAGTTGTTACCCGCGTATATATAATCTAGAGTGCGTATGGTTACATCAATCAAAACCTTCACCAATTATGACTTTAAACATTTTTTTTCTCACACAAATCTTAGCTTATTATGAGTAGAAAATTCTTACAAACGCTGTTTTCTGTACGATAAGCGGTTCCGGAGATATTCGCAAAAAACGATTTTTCTTTATTAAATTTCAACACCCTGTATCTCAAAAATGGTGCATTTTACAGGGGGTAGGTTGATAGATACTTTTTTTCCAGATACTTCTGTAAAAATTACCTCATTCCAAGACTTTATGTTCTTCGAAATACAGTGTGTTGATTAATTATCGTACCCGACGTCATCATTGCAAGTATGCAACCAATATCACAGTGCAATACGCATCATATGCAAATCGCGTATTGCAATACTAATACTGTGATATTGGTTGCATACTTACAATGATGACGTCGGGTACGATAATTAATTAACACGCTGTATGTTTAATTAATCGCTCGTCAGTTGCGTTGAAAATCTTATTTGGCGCAATTCTTCCCTTATTTACTTTACTATACGATTCTCGTGACTTTAAACTATCTTGTGTATCAAATAAGCCGTGAGCCACTGTATAGTACTGTAGTAGCGCCACGAGAGCTGGCAGTAAATCATCGTTTTCCGCTCTCACAAATGCCATACGTAGTAAATTAAAATTCACAAATCGCTAGAGAGTAATGTGTGTTAGAAAGAGATAGCATTAGTTTAATATCTCTGCTGTACAATAATGATAATAATAATAATAACTTACTTAACCCTTTGTGTCCCAAGAAGTCAAAAATGTTGAAACTTTGTGACAGAATTAAAACGCTATCAAAATACACTCAGTAAAGGTCTATGGAATCAATTTTAGCAAAATATGTTATTTTGGCATAATCTAAGTGTCAAAAAAGATGCTAATTCAAAAATTCCTGAAAACCGTGTTTATTGAAATTAAGAAATAAAACTTATTTTAAATTGAAGCTTAAAGCTTTCTGTTTAAATCGATGTGTACTAATCGATGGGTTGAATTAGAAAAATTTTGAGAAAAAGAGTATTGAGTTAAAACTAACATTTTCGCATAACCTAAAAGTGTCAAAAAAGATGCTAATTTAAAAATTCCTNTAGATATTTCAAGTGTTTCAGTTTTTTGCCGCACTGTATCTAACAACCACTTCCGGTTGTTAGATAAGCCTGAAACTGGTATTCTATTATTGTTATGTGAGTTTACACCAAATATACGAGATTTATTTTTTAAGAAAAAGAATATAAGCAGTTTATATGAAAACGGTCAAATAACACACTCAGTCACTGATCATCTTTGATCGCTAATATCTTGGTAAGGAGCAAGTTAAAGGAAGATGTGGTTATCATGTTATATAGAGCACATCTCAAAGAATAAGAATATTCTAGCGACAAAAGTTCTTCTTGCGTCTTCTGCAAGATATATATGTTAAAACATTTGGTTGTAACTTCAAGTAGGTGTTAATTAGCTTTAAAAGAANTTCCAATCGTAATGGGACTAGGAAGACACAAATAGCGAATCATCTTTACCCTCTGCATTTGTGATGAACTTTTGTTTATAAGTCGAATGATATCCGCTACCATCAAACCCCCACTTACAATGTAATATAGAATTTACATTTACATTTGGATAATTAAACAAATATTTAAAAATTTTTTTTTAAATATCATTATATAAAACTGGTTTGAAGTGTTTCTGAAGAAGGTTGACACATGGCATCCGAAACGTCAAACCTTTTCTTAAAAGACGCACGGCAAAACCCGAAAGTTTTTAGTTGTAGGTCTAGTTTCAGTTCTAATTTTAGTTCAATTAACCCCGGCCGTGAAAGCCTTCGTACTTATAAACACAGTAGATATTTCAAGTGTTTCAGTTTTTTGCCGCACTGTATCTAACAACCACTTCCGGTTGTTAGATAAGCCTGAAACTGGTATTCTATTATTGT